GCTGCATTCCCTTGTTCAGTCCCTGTTTTCATTTAAAATATGTAGTAATACAATATTTAATGCCACCCGATAAGTCATCATTGGTGCAGACAAACTCCTACCAGATATCTTTATAACCGAATTCCGACCTTTGTACCATTTGGGCAGCCTTAATGGAACGGTCGATTGGCTTAGCATGCGATAGCCATCATGGCTACTACTACCTGACCGAACTCGCTGTCTCCGAACAATGTTCGTACATGCTCGAAAAATATTTGCGCTCCGTGCTGTTTCTTAATAGGTCCTATGCCGTGGAAGGTCTTGGGCATCACCCCTTGCTGACTCCATTTTGAGTCACTCCGGTTGACGCCCACACAGACTTGTGTGGATTCCGACACGCCTTTCGCGTGAACTGCTTTATTCGTCATGGGTTGCCTATCTTGTTCTCTTATGTGCCTCCAGGCCACCGACTCTTTTTATTCAGCCGCCGAGGGCAGTTACCTGCAACAGACGAACTTACGCATAAGGCTGAATGCGTCAACTAGGCTTTTGCACTTTTCGAGCAGGACGGCATAAATTGAATGAGTCCAAAACGTAGCCATGCGTAACCCCCGCTGTATACCAGCAACCGATAAAGTCTCTGTTCTAAAGGCAGGCTAACCTATTTCACACACAAGAAGTCTACTTGTGTGAGCCACTGATGAGCCGGACTCCTCGCAGCTGTTTCAGGCTGCCGCAGAATACCGGCGAAACTCGTGTCTGGGCGGTTAGTATAGTAAGTAACAACACCAATTCTATTTCTACTATATGTCTAAGCACCTGGGCATTCGCCTGGTTCACTTCCTGAGTGATGAGAAAAGCCGACACCGAGTCGAACTCCTTCTAGGTCATTTTTCGGCTAACCAAGACCGCAAAAAACATTTCCAGGGAAGTATCGGCAATCCAACATAGTGCGTCAGGAATCTTTACCTCATCTGGAAGGCGACCGTTACCGTTGCGTTAAGTTGCCGGTTGCCAAGCTCACAAATGTTTATTCCCAAGGGTCAAATATCCAGCCTTGCATGCGGAACACCTCAAAGCTGCAGAGAGTATAAGTACACTCAAGAGTCTGCGAGGGAAATACGAGTAAAAGTTCGCTTGTGTTAACATTGGCAGCGACGCTCGTTGCACGGTTTGGATGCAAGTTTGAGGCTGCGTTCCATCCTCAAGAGATTTTAACCCCTTCAATTTTTCTGGTTCTTTCTGTTTTTTTCTCTTTTATTCTTTCGCTTACTTCCTATGTTATATGCTGACTTTCACGCCTTTGAGATTAGTTATCCAGTCTATCATGTCGGCTTTCTGTACACTTCGGTGAAAATCCTGGAAAAGGTCACTTTTCCTGCAATACGTTTTCTTGATTTGTTATGTCAAATGACTATTTCACTCTTCTCAAGTTGTTCCTATTTCCCCACCGAAGGAGCGAGCGATAAAATGGCGCCATGGACAGATGATGGACGGTTTTACTACAAACGGCGTACGAATCCTCCGGCCTCAGACGGAAGAAAGTACGTTGTCTCTCCCATCCTCTCTCCCCCCCCCATTTCCCGGTCCTGGTGCACATTAGGCAAATTTGCGCTCCTGCCAGACACTGTTTCTTTCGTGTATTTTATTTTCGCACGGCTTTTCTGCAGCCTAAATTTAGAAGATAACCACAAGTGACTTGACTGAAACCCCGCACGTTCCCTTTGTGTGCCTGACCAAAAAAACTCCTCGCTTGTGCAACTGTAGATGAAATGCACGCCTAACAGGCCCTCCACCATAGCCGAAACTTACTGCTTGCTTTGGCTGACTTGACTGTCTTACTTCCCTTCTTTGGTTTGTCTGCTGCTTTTTGACGTTATCTGTCTTCGTAGGAGACCCCTCTCAGCTTTCTTTAGTTCAGAGAATTGAGCGACAGACTAGATCTGGGTGCCGATGGGGTAATGTAAAAGCATCCAAAAAGCTCGACGATGCGTTTGATAAGACTGCAAACCGATAATCGTGGTAATGCCCACCAAAGACACCAATGCACAACCACAGACTCAGCCACAGGCCCTGTCCCCACTTCCCTA